GAAATTAAACATTGACAGACGAGCTACAACATGTGCCAACACAAGGACAAATACATGAGTACTTACCGTCAACTTCAATTCCCTTTGGCACTAAGGGAATGGAGCCAGTAGCAATTATAATGTCTTTTGCTGTTATTACAGTTTCTCCAGCGCCAGCCTTTCCATATTTCACCTTTTGTGGACCCTGAAAATATAGTTATGTGAAAATGAATGACAAAGCCTCGTATATGTGATCTAATGACTACCACTTTCCCTTTTACTTAAAAATGACTGTTTCTACACAGAAAACACCTACTTAAACTTGAGAAATTTCGATGAATAGCTCAGCTTACCAAAACTGTGCCAGCACCCATCAATATATCTACCCCAAGAGCTTTCATCGAATTTGTCAAATTATTTCTAATTTTGGAGGCCAAATTATTTGCATGATCAGCAACTCCTTGTCTGTCATATCCAGCAGCTGCAACCTATCATATGAGGTTAAAAAAGTGAGCAAGCTGTCGAAAACAGGGAAAACAGAAATAAGAGCATTTCAGGGTTGCAATGCAAACTTCGGCGATTTTGTAAGAAATATGACACTGGACAGTAACTTGTGCCAATACAAGAAGTTCAACCATTTCATGAACTTGATGCTGAATTTACAGCTGGCCCAAAAACAGTTACTGAAACATTCAAGAGACTAAACTTTGGTTTCTCAGCACCAAAAATGCCTACCTGTAAACCAAAAGCCTTCATGTGATGCTCATTCTGAAGCTCCCGCATACGACCACTAACAGCTAGGAGGGCTTTGGAAGGCACACAACCCCTATTTACACATGTTCCTCCTACTACATCTCCTTCAATGATGGCAGTTTTTAAACCCTGAAAACAAAACATTTGTCAGTTAATCACTTTCACTGAATTCAAGAATTTGATAAAGGTATCACAAGATGCATTTATATGGTGAATAAGCAGTCAAACAAAATGCCTGCTTGATGTTAGCCACCAGCTTCTTTCATCACTTTCTTTTGTCTCTTTTGACAAAGGAAATAAAAAGAAAATCCCTCAAATTTAATCCCCCAAGAACACACAAATCAACATCTGTAAGGTACATGTTGTTGTAATAATCCAAACAGAAAAAAAAAAATTAAAACAAACAGTAAAGATCTGCTAAAGTAATAAAAATCCCGTTTACAACTAAATCACCAGGTAACACTTACCAACTAAGAGAATATCAAATTGGACGTAACTAATACTTTAAGAATTAGTTCAAATTAGCATAACATTAATATCTGAAGCTTCTAACAGAAACAGTACACAGCTGAAGTTTAATGATCAGAGTGGCATTGTTACCTTCTCTACAGCATGAAGTGCAGCGCCATGACCACCAACACCAGCGCCAATAATTACGAGATCATAATCAAAACCCTCTTTCGACGGAGTTCCATTATCATTACTCACCGAAGCCGAAACCTCCAAATTCAAACGCTGCTTTGTGGACGAAGAAGAAAATACAGCAGCCGAGGAGGAGGAAACTAATCTCGCTGCAGCTGAATGCGAAGAATTCAGTCCGAAAATCGCCTCTCTCTTGAGACCGCAGAACCGGAGCGATCGCGACGTGAGAAAAGTGGAAGAAGAGCAGTCGGATCTCGGGGCAATTGTTAGGGAAGGCGAGGCCAGGGACATTGTCATTGCTGATTGCATTTTTTTAGGTTTCGAGGACTCGAGGTTCAAAAAACACACACTCACGCAGTAGAGGATGAATTAATGGAGATTGTTTGGGAGCGGAAGTGGGGCCGCCGGGAGAGTGATATAGAGGAAGAGGAGGGAAGGCTTCGAGAAGTCCGTTGGAGGTGGCGGAGTTAACAAAGCGGCGTTTGATGAACCAACCTCTTACTTAGTTGTTTAGCGCTCGTTTTTTAATTTTCTTGTTCCTTTCTCTTTTATTTTAATAGTTTCTTCTTTTTCTTTGATTGCTTTTTTTTTTTTTTGCCCTTTTCTTTTTTTATTACCTATTATTTCTTGAGAATAAATAAAAGAGGAAATAGGTGTCACTTTTATTCTTTATTTTTGATATAATGGTGTTGAATCATTTTGGTTTTGAATATATTATAAGTAACAAAGACAAATTTAGAACTCATTATGTAATTGCTTAATTAAGAAAGAACTCATAATATCCTTCTTAGGTATTATTGACATCACTTTTGTTTACCTAAAAGCTTTGAAGATTTGTGTCAAGTTTTTTAGCTGATTAGCCACGCAAACAATCTAAAAACAAGAGCACATGAGTCAAATCCTCAAAATAATAACAAAAAAAACTTTTTTTGTAGCAGTGGTGGAGTGTGTTTGGACAGTAAATTAATTAGAATAGTTTTTTTTAAAAAAAAATTGTAATACTCATTTGACATAAGATAAATAGATGATTTAAAAATACGTTAATGACGCAAGCAAATAAATTTTTTACAAATAATTAACTCCAAAGAAAGAATTAATCTTTCTTATACTAATAATGCATATACTGTAGGCAGCGTTGCATAAATTACAATTATGTAAAATTTGAATTTAAAATTCAACTTTTACACGTACATAACATTACCTTCCAAACAAAGTCATTGATAGCATGATCGTTGTGATCACCTATTGAGCTAGTTTCTGAGGTTTTTATGTAAAGGTATTACACATTCTGAGCTAGTTTAGATTGCCATTTTTTGTTTTAAAAAATTTACATTTTTTGTAAATATACTTTTTAATCACTTTTTTAGTACTTTACAGTTTATATACATCACATCGTTACAATATATTTTTCTAAAAAAAATTTCAGAAGATAGCAATCAAAATGGAAAATCTTTCACTTTGTATCTTTATATGCCCTATTTCGTATTACAAATAACAAGTTCTGGTTCTTGGGCATAATTACAAGAATCAGTCTGGCTTTTGGAATTATACACCACGTTTACAGGGTAACATGTTTCTCTTAATTTAAGGTCATTAACTGCACGGAAACAAGCTCCTTATCTAAAATTTGGCGGTTACCAAAAAAGGGTAACAAGAAATTCAATGCTGAATCTGGATATATATATATAATATACATGAGCATTTTGGATTTGGATTAGATTTTGAAGTGAAAAAGTACATTATTGACATTCTCGCCTACGTTGATAAGTAACTTTACTTATCAAAAGTCTGAGTTTCTCAGAAAAGACAAAAAGACATTCTCGCCTACGTTGGCAACTATGGAACTTTCCTCAAAAGAATTTGTGATAGCTGGGAGCATCATGTGGTTCGTTGAGCCGAAACCTGAGCTCGTTTGTCAATTGAGTTTTTTTGATATTTGTTTAAAATTTTACTGTAATTTATCGTAGAAGTTGCAGAAAAATTTTTTAAAGTGTATAAACTTTTAGATATTTTGAAATATATAATTCAAAAATTTTGATAAGTTTTATGAGATTAATATAATTGAAGTTGTTAAAAAATTTGTAGCAGACAAATTTAGCAAAAAAACTTGTTCGCCAAACAGGACTTTGGTTTGGACAAGAAATTATTTAAAATAATTACTGTAATATTTGTTTTTGATATGATGCAGATGAGATAAAAAAATAATTAAAAAGATGAAAAAATGTATTCAAAATTATGTTCGTGATGCTAATAAATAATTTTTTTTTTGTAATCATGATTATCCAAACACACGTGTTAATCACATCCGAGACCTAAAAAGAAAAGCGAGACACGGCCCGCCACTAAACCTTGCTCTCTCCAAGATACCTGCCACAAAAACCACCTAAGAAAAAGTACTCTCTTTGAAAGTTTTGTGCTTAAAGTATTTTTTTTTTAATATATAAGCAAGTGTTAGATTAATTAAATAATATAATAGATGAGGGATAACGGTAGAATCATGTTATTCTCTCTCTTTTCTAGTGTCACTTTTTAATTGCTGGTTGACTTAGACTCTGTTTGATAATCCAATTCAACACTTAAATTTAACGGATTCAGATCTTAACATATTCAGACCATATAATAACGAAAAATTGAACATATGAATTAATTAAGTAGCACTGAATTTTCTAAACAAAACATGTTTTCAAAATTAAGTGAGAAACTATTCACTTTATCGCTGAATGTGATATGCACTCAAATGTATTAAATTTAATATTTAATAATTTAATAAACTTAGAATTCAAATTTCAATTTTATCAATGCACCGTTCGTAAATATAAAATAATAAATCTCAAGGGATATTAATATAATTTTTAAAACTTAAAAGGGAGGCTAGTGAAATAATTAAAAAAATCATTTCCTTTTAAAATGTCATGTTTTTATTTTGGGATGTTGTAAAATATTTATCATTTTATCAAACAAAATTACTTTTAATATCTTTTTTGAATGTTGAGTAGTAAAATAAAAACCATGGTCCATGGCCCAGAACCCACGAGCCGCCAACAGCATTATTAAACTTACAAAAAGCTCAAAACCATCAAACCGCCGCCACCCGCCACACGACTCTCTCACAGACTCACACACACAGGACACACAGTAGTCAATCACACACTATATAAATATTCCATAGTCAGAGCTTAATTACGCACCAAAAAAAGAAAAAAAGTTTTGTAATTGTCACAAGCTTCTATTAATTAAGCATCCAGGAGCAAAAGAAGAAGAAGAAAAAAAATCTGTGGTTGATGGCTTCTGAAGTGGCGGAGAAAGAACGCAAGATTCTGGTTGCAGTGGATGAAGGGGAGGAGAGCTCCTATGCTTTGTCATGGTGTCTCACCAACATTGTCAATGAAAATTCCAAAGATACCCTTGTCCTCGTCTATGCCAGGCCACCTAGAGCTGTTTACTCTACCCTTGATGGATCAGGTGAGGAAGACCACCTCCCAGGTGACTTCTTTTTTTTTTTTTTCCTCTTTTTGTGGTTGAGCTAATTATTTATATGGGCATTTTTTTAAATGTCATAGTCTAAATTTTCTTACTATTTTGGTTGTTTTTGCAGGTGTTACTAACTCGCGTTCTTCACTTGCGTTGAGCATGAATCATGATGAGCTGTAGGTCTAATGATCTGCTTTAGTGGACATTAGGAGTTGTTAAATATAATCTGAAGAGGTATTTATCAGCTGTTGTCCATCTTGTGTTCGAGTTGCATGCTGAAAATCTTTACTTTCTCGATGCAACTGCTTAAAGTTATGTTAAAAGATTCAGTGGCTGCTTTGGTGGTCTCCCATATGGTCGGTTGATGGCTGCTTTTTATCTGTTTGTTCGTCACAGCTAAGTAAAAACATTCAGTTGATGTAGATATAGGGCTGAGATAGAAGTATCACATGTTAGAACAATTTAATGGGTTCGTATATGCTGTTATATTTTAGGATTTGGGGCTGACATTTCTGTGTACTAGGTTTGCCTTATTTTATCATGTTGCTTCCATTGACAATATGTTATACAACCTTGAGTTGAAAATGAACTGCGTTTCTAACCTTCTGTAGCTCCTCACTTGGTTTTCACAGTGCTAATGCCTTCTGTCTGTGCATTTTATGGCAGGTTGTCACTCCGGTTGCACCCCTAAGCCAACAGGTAATCTCTAGGCTGACTTTCACTAGCATCATCACATTCCTTTGTAAGGGTTGGATCTGACATACAACTATTTTCCTAATGTCCTTGGAAAAGAACTTCAGATATGCCAAGGCATTAATACAATGAAAGGATTACATGAAACTGGATCACAATTTATTGTTAATTAGTCCATGTGTTGTACTGTATGAGGGTTTCATGGTTATCTATGAAGTAGTATATGCATGTTTTTGTTTCTCAAACTCTTAATAGTTCCTATCCTTTTTCATACATTAGTAATTTTTTACCTTGGATTTTCATGACAGAGATTGTTGTATTGCAGGCAGGATACTACTGCTCGGTTTGTGAATGTGTAGTAAAAGATTCAGCAAATTACTTGGACCATATTAATGGGAAGAAGCGTATGTGTTCCATGTGTGTTCAAACTGTCCCTTTTGGACATTATTTCTGTCAATTAATGTGCTATTGTTTTTCCTTTTAGATCAACGAGCTCTGGGTATGTCTATGCGGGTGGAGCGGGCATCCCTGGAGCAGGTAAGCTTGTGCAATCTGTCCTTCAACTTCTTAGTCATTTTTTGTCTTGTGTTTTAGAAAAGAAATAATTTGGCTTTTGTCCAATGGGGAAAGGGGAAGGGGATTGGAGAAGATAGGGGGTTGCCAGGTTTGTGATTGAGACCATCTTTGGTGGCTGATTTTTATCATACTTTGCCACTAGATGTTATAAACTGTTTACATTTTTCAACTCACTTTTGTATATTCTTAATTAACTTTTTATCTTACATACATCACATCATAAAAAGTGCTACAACCATTCTTTGTTCAATCTGATTTTGTTTGAACATATTTCCTCCTGCTCCAGCCATTCTTTGCGTACTTTCTGAATAACTCTGCATGGTTGATGGTTGGTCCGGTTCTCAAATTCCTTCTTGTTTCTTTGCTTCCATATCTGCCACAGAATATTGGCAGTGAGGTCAATGGGCTTTTACCATTTAGTCTTTTCCTAGCACTGGTGATTCTGCTCCGCCATTTTGTGAAATTGCCTTGTTGATCTTTGGCTCCATCCCATATTATTGGGACTACTTTCCAAATCTCTCTTGCTAGAGGACATTGCAGCAGTGTGTTCTACTGTTTCTGGTTCCTCTCTCCTTTACACACTGGATCCCCAATTAAATGTTATCATGTGAACTATAGCATGTCTGTATATAGGTACTTTTTCTAGTTAAATCTACTTTTATACAAAAAAACATAAAGATTGTCATTTTTTTCAAAAATTTTTACACTTTCCGTGTGCATATTTCGCAATCACTTTTATACCTAATGTACATTAAATCATTACACATTTTTCTACAAAAATTTTAGAAGATAACAATCAAAACGGGCACGTAACATCTCTAGTCTCTCTTAAAAGTGTGCTCATGATAAGTATCCTTTAGTCAAATTCTACTTTGTAATGTCACCCAAACCACATATTATGTACTGTCTGTCTAATATGGCACTTGTTAAGATGTATTTAAAGTGTTATATTTTTTAAAATATAAAATTAATTAGAAAAAGTAAATAAATATAAGAGAGGGTAGACAATTTTGAATAGAAAAAGAAAATAAATATAAGAAAAATAATTGTTAGTATGTGTATATACACACACATACATATATATATATATATATATATATATATATATATATATATATATATATGATAAATTTGATGAATGCTAGTGTATTAACTAGGGCCTTAGGACACCGTTAGAAAAATCCTATCACGTAATATCATTCATTAAATATAAGCTCAAGTCCAATTCAATATAGGAACATTTGAGCTTTTGTTCTTTTTCTGCTGATCTTAGATTTACAAAGATCCCACAATGGTGGGCGTAATACAATCAATGAACTAAACATTCACGCATGATTGTTGGACGTATTTGCTGTTAATATGTTGTCTTATCTTCTACGTATTTTAAGAGAGTGGACATCGCATGTCTCCTTAAAACTGTTAAAGTGCTCCTAAAATTGACATAACAGATGATCTGAAGCTGTTGCTATTTTTGTAAACTGGAGTTTTGACCCAAAAACAAAGAAAACAAAACTACCAAGAACTAAAAAAGTATGAACACAAGATTGCATACAATTACTAATAGCCGGATAAGGTTGAGAATAAAAAGGAGTACAAGGAAAATGAAAATTGGTAGTTTTTTGGTCAGTAACTTGTTTTCCTTGTTAAGTTGGATACGGCAGATTCTCCGTTCCATAGTTGCTGAGAACAAGGATTCTATCACAAGATATTTCCATGAATATCTCTTCACAAAATAAAGAAGTTTTACTCGGAGAATAATCAGATTACGTAAATGATGAGCATGTCCAAAATCCGTCAATCTCTATCCTAATCATATCCCAAGAACGTTAATCAAACGTTAATTTCCCGTATGACTTTGTATTGCATTAGCCTTAAATCTCTCCCTGCTGATTGCTCTCCAAGAATCTTATTAACAGAAGATTTTTTTTTTTTTTTTTTTTGTGCATGAGTTATCGCAACTGGTTTGTTCTACTGTAGTGTTATTCTCTCCTTTTAGCTCTTTGTTTCTTCTCAAGTTTTTGTTTAACTCTTTCTTTCTTCTCTCAAATTTCGTAGCTTGGTAAGTGGGATATTCAGCATCCAAAGTTCTCGATTTCTCTACATTCATCAAAACACCGTTTATAAAACAGGGTTTAACACAGGTTTAAAGTTTTATTTCTTCTTTGGGTTTTGGCAAGCGATATCCTGTTAAAAAAATTGATTCCAATTGGATCCCAGAAAAGAATTAGTACTTATTTTGGAGTTTCATCTTGATTATAGTGGTTCTTGTGCTTCCCTTGCCTTCTGAAAATAAATGACCGGATCCATAGCAACCTCTAGCATGTTGGATTTGGGCATAAGTTTGGTGGTTTTTTAGTGCTTTTCAGTATTCGCATTTGGTTGGACATGTATATAATGGTACATGCAAATAAGACTCCTACGTGAATTGTCAAAATAGCAGTAAATTCAATGTTGATGTTATTGTGAATGGTTGCATAATTTGGATGTGTAAACTTATACGAATTCTGTAAGCATGAAACTGTTGTGTATTGTTATACAGAGCTAAAATTAATTCAGATTGTTGAAGGTATTAGTGGGAGTTCAGCAATAGCGGATTCTGGGGAATGTCAGGAAACAAAGACAATAAACTGCTTCAGCGATTATATTAACAAAATTTGTTCAATTCTGATGCATCATACATGATGAGCTAAAGGAAGTGTGTTATGGATGTTAGTCACAGCATGAGCCATTAACTCAGCTAATAACTCCATCCTGCAGAGCCATGGGCAGACATCCTACGTAGTGGTGAGGTTTATCACTTCATTTTCACAGAATGAGGCTACCTTTTAACAGGATGGGACGCTGTTGTTGCATATTTACTCGTCCTCTTTTCTTTCTAATCCTCCTGGTAATTTCTGCAGCATTTTCCTTTTTTGTTTTTTGGCTGATGCCTAAACAATTGTGTTTAGTTTTGACTGAAAATCTCAATCCAGGGAATAGCATGTTACATGGTCATGGAGGTCTGTTTGAAGATCAATCAAGTTGAGCATATCATAGTTTTGCAAGCAGATGAAGCTCGCAACAAAACTATTAGAGATGTTGAAAACGCCACAAGCATGCTTCATCCGTTGAATTCTTCTGCCTTGAATCTAGCTACGGTGCTCAGTGCAAAACTAAATGGAACGGACTTAACATTTCCTATTATCCAAGCAAATGTTAGCAAGAATAAATTTTTTTTTTGTTTAAATTTGATACAATTTTCTTAGTTGTTTTTACAGGTTTCTTTCTTTTCATTCAATTCGCTTAGATTGCGCCGTCACTATTTCAAGCACTTACAACAATCCCGCGGGTAACAGAGGTGGAATTCATGGGGTTGGACAGATGGGAGTTCTCCTATTACCGCAATGATGAGCAAACATTTGCATTTTTCTCGAACTCTTCAGCTCCTTCAACATCATATACTCAGCCTGTGAACCGTGACACTGGAAAGCTGTTTGGTGAAGCAGTTGAGTCTAACTATACTATTGCATTTAACTCAACGAGATTTGTAGAAGGCCCACGAGGGATACTACCATATCCTTCACTAGAGACGGGGAAGAATCAGGATCTCCTTTTCAAAAGCAATGTTCCAATGGTTGGAATGGGGCTCATTTCAATAGGTTTTCCAGCAGATGAAGTTAAAAATCAGTTTTCTCATCTAGATTTTCATGGCAGTCACTTGCACCTAGCTTCGAATGATGGCCAAGTACTTTTTGAGAAAGAGCTTGCTGATACTCAAATTTTTGTGTACAACGGAACATATTCACTGAAGTTGAAGAAACAAAATGGTGCTTACGAAGATGTAGTCAGTAATGTTTCTTGCAAGTTGGAGGATGATGCTGATCTAGAGCATTTGGATGTGAAGATCAATGAAAAGAAGCACAAATTTTATTGCTCAACTGTTGACATTGCAGGAATTGATTCAGTAAGTCCTTAATAATGCTAAATCCGTGAAAAATACTGTAGGATTCTTTAGAAATTGACTAATTCTAACAACTAAGCATGAAGTTAGCACATACATTGCTCACAACACCATTGGGTATTTAAGCATCTTACCGTATTTATTGCATCCACTTTTTCTTGAATTGCAAAGTCACAGTCATATGATCGATGCATACGTGACTGATTAGATCATGGAAAGAACTATAGCTAAAAATGACAAAAGAAGTCGAAGCAACGCCATTGACTACAAGTGCTCATGCTAATTGCAGACTTCTAATTGCTCATACAAGTTTTAGTTCAACAATGAATAAATAGTGACTAATAAGAGCGTTTTGCTTCATGTTACAAAATAGGATGTCTACCCTTTTTAGGTTCATGCAATTTTACAGAATTTGAAATGTCTCCCTAATGCTTATTCTTGATGTTGTTTACCTTTATATATGAAATACAACTATCCTGCAGTATGCTTATCTGAATTAATCATGTGAGAATTTTTTTCATTTTACCAGAAACCAAATTCTGATGAGATCTAATAGGCAGTCCCCTGATTATCTAAAACCAATATTGTCCGAAAGAACTGGATGAATTACTCTGCTTAACAGAATGATATAATAGCCTTACACTCAGTATGTCTATCTTTTTTAGTAGTTTTATATCCATGATTGCAGACCATCATAGGGATTCGTCGTCCTTAACCGTCAGCCTATCATCCTGGCATACTTGATTGGAGCATAAACACTTTATACGACATTGGAAATGCCTTTTGCTTTTAACTACTAATAGTAACAAGTTGAACTAAATCAACTGGATAATCAAATGTGTCTTAATTTGTATTTTAGGTATATGTATTGGCTTTTCCGGAAGATGGAAACGAAGCTGCTGCCCATAAAAGCAGCATGCTAGCCATCATGCTTCTTGTTCTTACGCTTGTGGGATCAGTTGTCTCGCTTTGCCTCTTCATTTTTTTGATCCTGAAAGCTGCACGAAGAGAGATAGTTTTGTGCGATGCACTCGTAAAACAAAAAGAATCAACTCAACAAGCTGAGCGCAAAAGCATGAGCAAGACGAATGCCTTTGCTACATATAGTCATGATCTACGTGCTTCCTTGACAGCTATAACTTGCTTGATAGAGCTTTGTCGTGAAGATGTCGTCCCAAATTCTCAGTTGGCAGCCAACTTGTCACAACTAGATACATATGTACACGATCTATTAGGTAACCATTCTGTTTTTCAATTCATAATGGACTAATCAAGTTAGAAGTCTAGAGAAGTTGAAGTGAATATTGATAATATGTTGGGGCTGGATGAGTACTCATTCAATTTCTGGTTCACTTCACTCTAGCCTGCAAGATATTTGTTTCTCATAAATGTGGACATGCATTTTCTCAATTTCTTTCAACATGTATGCAGTCATAATTTCTCTTTGTCCTTTGGCAATTGTTGTAGGTCTACTAAATACAGTTCTTGATAAAAGTAAAACTGAAGCTGGTAAGACAGAACTTGTAGAAGAAGAGTTTAACCTGGAACAGGTCCTTGAAGACGTTGTTGATATGTACTATCCTGTTGGCGTTAAGAAAGGGATAGATGTCATATTTGACCAATGTGATTTCTCAATTATAAAGTTTCGCCATGTCAGGGGTGATAGAAGAAGGCTCAAAGAGATACTAGAGAATTTGCTAAGTAATGCTATAAAGTTTACGACAGAAGGCCATGTTGTTGTTCGCTGTATAGCAAGGAAAACAAGTAAAGAGAATGCTATAATTGCTTCTAACCGCAGAAGCACATTAAATTGTCTCTCAAGGTTGTGTTACAAGAACAGTGGAAGCCTACATTCGCTTGATGACATCCATACAGTTCATGAAAATCCTAATTGTATGGAATTCGTGTTCGAGGTGGATGACACGGGCTGTGGGATTCCAAAGGAGAGGCGAAAATCTGTGTTTGAAAACTATGTTCAGATTACAGTCGCTGCTGCTGGACAACAAGGATGGGGTCTAGGACTCGGCATCGTTCAGTCTTTGGTAAGAAATTGCATTGGCTGTCTTTACTTCATCATTTAGTTTAGTAGCTGTTTCATCAACTGAATCATCAAATTAGAAAAATAAAAATATTGTCATGGGATGATCCTTGTGCCGTCTTTATTCTTAGAAATTATTGAGTATAACACAGTGCTGATGGCTTAGGTACGTTTAATGGGGGGAGAAATCAGAATCGTTGACAAAGAAAATGGAGAAAAAGGAACCTGCTTTAGGTTCAGTGTCTTTTTGACAGTATGCAATCCGGTGTCCACTGTCATGGATGAAGATGGAAACCATATGCAAAATGGAGTTTCTTCAAGTGATCTTCTGCATTATTTTGAATTACATATTCGCTATCCCAATACAAGATTGGAGGGATCCCATGTCGTGCTCTTACTTGCAAGTAAAGAGCGCAGAAAGATTTCCAAGAGAGCAATTGAGAATATTGGCATAAAAGTAACAGTTGCAGAGACAGATAAAGATCTAAGACGTATTCTATATAAGATAAAGGAAAAGATGGACCATTTCCAGCTTAATCTGCATGAGAAATCCGAATCTAGTCCGCCTGACTACCTGTCCGCGTCCAGCAATTCTAATTCAGGATTGAATGAAGGGCATTCAGGTGCTACAGATGGACATGAAGCTCATCTCCCCCAAAGAAAAAGCTTCAACTCCAAAGCTGTCCAAAATTTTATACTGATCGTGATTGATGCGGCTATTGGACCTTCCTTGGAAGCAAGTGCAGCTTTGTCCAGCTTTAAGAGGGAAACACGAAATTTGCAGTGTAAGGTTGTTTACTGGGACAATTCAATTATTCCTAGAAGGAATTCAAGAGACGTGAAAGAGCAAAGGCCACTAATTCCTTGTGACTACATATTAAAGAAACCCTTGCATGGATCAGGTTTATATGGCGTGCTACGACTTCTTCCTGTATTTCATGGTGCATTTCCACCTGAGTCGTTGATCGTTAAAGCTGAAGCAGTTCAAGAAAATGAGGGCTCCTCTGAGACTACTGTACCTCCAAATAGATTGGTTAAATTCTCCAGCAATACTGAGCTTCAAAACGGCAAAATTTCAACAGACGAAAAACAAGAACTCCAGGAGATTGTAATACATGATCCAGCTGCTGACCAAAGCTCTCCAAACCCACTCAAGGGAAAATCTGTATTGGTAGTAGATGATCTCGAGGTATTACGTAGAGTAGCCAGCACGAGGATTTCCAAACTCGGTGCTCGAGTGGAAGTCTGTGAGAATGGGAAGGAGGCTTTCGACAAAGTCTGCAAGGTCCTGAATGATGAGAAGGAAATTAATCAGGAAACTCTCCCATATGATTTCATAATAATGGATTGTGAGGTACTCTCAAGATCCTACTGACTCTGATATTTTGACATTTTTTTTTCTGTCACAAATTCGGTTTTTTTTCTTTTTTTGGTTTTCAGATAAGCTGTAACTCTCACATTTTTTCAGGAAAAAACTTTGAACATCATAAATATTTGGGTTAAAAACAAAAAAACCTTACGTGGTATACCTAATACACAAAAAAGCTCTCATGGTTTCAAAACATACAAAACAACACCTCATGTTTTGAATTAAATTGTAAACTAACAGAATCCGGTAAACTTAACGGAAAATTTAACGGAATCCAGTAAATTTACAGCTAAGACCGTCATTTTCATTAATTTTAACGAATTCTATTAGTTTACAATTTAGTTCAAAATATGAGGCGTCATTTTGTATGTTTTGAAATCACATGGGGCTTTTTATGTATTAGGTATACCATACAGGGCTTTTTTGTTTTTAACCCTAAATATTTTCCATCCTCATAGTTCATTGAAGCTGTCTTTGAAAACTAAGTTATTCTTGTGATAGTGACCACAAATGTATAGTTCGTACTGCTATATGAAGCTTTTTGATGGTCATGCTTGGAACTTGTTTTTGTTGGTAGATGCCAGTAATGGATGGATATGAAGCAACAAGACTTATAAGGAAGGAAGAGAAAATTCACGGCATCCATATTCCCATATTTGCACTAACAGCCCATGCTATGCCTGAAGAACACAGAAAGATTGTTGACGCTGGAATGGATTTTCATCTGTGCAAGCCATTCGATGCAGACAAACTAATGGATGCCATTAGAGATATTGAGCGCAAATTCAAACATTGACTGTTGAATGGTTTATTTATTTATTTGTTTGGATTGTATTTTTTTGGACTTTTTGTAGAAAAATTACGATAATGATTTGATATACGTGAGGTAAAAAGGTGATTGAAAAATGTGCCCACGAAAAAATGTAGAAATTTTTCTTTGAAAATCTGCGATCCAAACACACCAAATTTTCTGGTCTTCCTCTCTATGTCTTCGCTTGAAAATAAAGTGGAAGTTCTTGGAGATACTACTCAGTTTTCCGGGACTTTGTTCATCTTTGATTTTGGGTGAAAAATGGAATGTTTGTGCTGGAAGCTGATATGAACTCTTTTACGCCTTTTACAGGGAAAGGAAATAGGAAGAAACCGTTTATACACTACTAGTAATTCCTCGCATTTCTACTTTCAAATCTTTTGCCAGTAAAGGAAATAGGAACAAACGCGTATATATATCCTGGCATTTCTACTCAAAAACTTCTAGTCCAAAGAAATTAGAGTAAGAAACTGGAACAAAGGTTTGTGCTCATGTTGATTTAGGTGGTTCAATATTGTCTTGTTTTCACTTCGCAAGGACCTGAAATTTTGAAGTAAAATTCCGGCATGAGTCTCCCAAGTGCAGGTTACATCCCAGCTATAGTTAGTGGAGCTGTTTCGTGTTGCTGACGGACCTAAATCTTCAACAGGGGACGTGCTTTTTTCTTTGTTTTGGTGGGACTTCCTGGTAATGCAACAAATTCTCAAAGGGTCAAAGCTGCCGCATAGCCAATGGTTGTTGAAGGGGATTTAGTTTTACAGCTTAGTTAACAAATTGACGGAATGGGGCTTTAATTCCAAAACATGCAAGATCATCCATGTCAGACTAATGCTGAAATCTTCGAAATAAATCAATCTCAACACCGCTAATGTTCCAAGTCCAGGCTGTTCATAAATCTAAAACTAAAACAGGCATGTTTCTCTTTTGGTTCTAATGGCTGAGCCAGATGAGAATAAAGAAGTATCGCAACACCAAGTTCATGCAGAGCCTCCAATATCTTTTTTCCCTAAACAGCAATTCTAGAGCTAAAAGCCAAAAAAAAAAAAGGAAAAATGTCGAGAGCTCAATTGCCAACAAAGCTCTTCTTCGCAGCAGCATGTTGGGCCAACCACAGCACTCGCACGTACTTTCCTACAGCTCGTCCTGCAAAAGGGTGGAAGTAAGAGAGTTAAAACAATTGAAATTTCTGATAACAAATCATCATAGTTAACTCAGCACTGAAGGATCAGACAAGCCCTTACTTTAACATTTTCCTCAGCTGCGGCAGTAACATCTTCCTTTGTTTCTGATTTGGTGTCTGCATCATCACTATCTGCTTCATCAGCAGCATCATCATCATCGCCTTCCTCAGCCTAAAAGAACAAGTTTTTCCCATTAAGAAAGTGCACGTAATAAGAACATATCACAGTTAAAATCTGGAGCAAAAAGAGTCTCTTTTGAGAACAACATTTTAGTCAGGAACTTACATCAGAATCGACTGGGTCATCCTTTGCTTCCTGAAACAAAATCAGACAGGAGTTCGAGATATAAGTTGTCTCTTCATAATCAAATGATCACTGTTCAAATAATGCAGTATAAAGGAAGTCCAAAGTCCAAACTATACAGAAATGGAATTCAAATGTACTCAAGACATCATGCAACAGAGGAAAATTAATGAAAAGTACCTCCTCCTCTCTCTTCTTTTCTGCCTCATCAAAAGCAGCTTTTTCAGCCTACAACATGAACATTTTCATGTGTCAACAAGCCGACGAAAGTAATTTAAACCTTTTTATTTTTTTATTTTTTGTGCATCGTTTGGGGAAAAAAAATTCCACATACATCCTTATGCTTGCCCCATGTCTCTTCAGCCAACTTCTTAGCATATTCAGGATCATCAGATACCAATACATTGTCAAATAGAGTTCCAGATTTCACCTGAAGAGGACATATATTTCCATCCATCAATC